AGAGAATGGCTTGAGAGCAGCCATGAGGAGAAGGATTTGGGAGTGCTGGTTGATGAAAGACTCAACATGAGTCAGCAATGAGTGTTTGCAGCCCAGAAGGCCAGCTGTATCCTGGGCTGCATCAAGAGAAGCATGATCAGGGAGTTGAGGGAGATGATTCTGCCTATAGCAGGGGGGTTGGAACCAGATGATCTTAAAGGTCCCTTCCAACCGAAACCATTCTATGATTCTATGACTTTCGGGTTTTTAACTTGTTTTGAGACTGCTAGAGTCTACAGGGCACTAGCACTATATTTTTTCCAACCCTTCTCACAGATACAGAGGCATCCCTTCAGCGAATCAGAATCCAGTTCTCCTATGTTGTCTGTAACACTACTAGCAAAACCACTTCAGTTTTTCAACTACAAAAAATATACCACCAAAACACTTAAGTGTGTTGATAATATGAAATCAGTCTGCAAACTTGAAAGAACACAGTGGACTATAAGGAAAGTCCAGCACTAGAAGGGAAGGAGGAAGGAGGATGATGGAGGGGAGCTGCAGGCTGTCTTTCCAGTCACACCAAATGAGCAGTGGGGCATGGAAGGCACCAGCTGCTCCCTTGCCTGAAAGCCACTTCCAGCCCCACGCAAGAAGTAGAGCAGCTGTGGCTGCCTGTGGGCCCACTGATGTTCTCCTGGGGAGGGAACAGAAAGAATTTCATCAGTCTAACATGGAATGTCAAAAGAGGTGCCAGAAGGAACTGAACTCACTTTGCTACTTTAAAGTCGCCTGAATCCAGGGACAACTTTCAAAGAACAAAACAGCTGGTGGCCCCAGGACTTGAGATACACACTAGTTTGCACCAGTATGCAACAGAAGCTGTCATTTGAACCTATGGAATTAACAAATGTGATGGGAGACATCTTACCCATCACATGTTTATACTTTGTTAGTGTGATAACTCAACTTTTTAAATGAATGGATAGTTTTTCTGTTTTCCTCTTTGGGTTCTACATTCATTTTCCAGAATTCTAACCTGACTTTGCCTGTCTTTCATGCACTATTACTATCTCATTTGCTTTGAAAGACCTCAAGTGTCTTCAAATCTCAAAACTTAATTAGGGCTCATAGCTACTTCTTTCCCCCCCTCAACCTTGTGGTCAGCTTAATCTTTTTTGAGGGGGCCCAATTTTAAACGCCAGTTGGCCCTCTTGGGTCTACGTGCTCTCTGCTCAGTATTTCATATAATAAAACTTGATCTGCAGTAGGTTTAGATATAAAACTTTCATGCTTTGGAAATTAAAAAGTATGCCAGATATCCATGTAACTCAGAGAATGCCAAAACTGATGGGTGTAGACAAGCCCACATGGCTCATGCCATATTGATGGGTAGTAAGTTAGGAGGTTAAGATATTCATAACAATATATACTGCTCAAAAAACCTGCATTCTGCCTTCTTGCTGGCATTACTTTCCACCATCATACTATAATGAGTGTCCAGCCAATAATGCTGAAAAAACTAACAAAATAAAAAGAGGCGGAATGTGTTTTAAATCCAGATCAGGTTACTGATCCAATCCCCAGGACAGCTACAAAAACAGTTGTCAGCCCAAATGCTAGGGTAGGGCAGAGAAGTGTGGGAGCAAGAATGCAAGACAAAGGGGAGTAGGGACTGTTTAAACAGGTACTGGTGCCAGAGGTCCTACACCATGAAACTATATCCAGTCAGATGCAAGACTAGATTGCTGCATCAGCACAGCACTGTGCTTTAGAGAACTTTAGCAGAAAGGATGCGATAAACTTAATAGGGCACTAAGCGTGTCTCGGCCAAAGCTAGCTTTGTGTTCAGTCTGTTTAGAGTAGGAGGGGAAGGCACACGAATCTATCTGCTCCTGCCCACACAGATGTAATCTAATGTGCATTAGTAGCCATACTTGAGATTGTGCAATGTCTTACAATGACAGGTCTATCTTTACTTGTAAGCTATAACAGTAACACTGTATTTTTCTCCTGTGCTTCCATGCAAGGTTTTAAAATAGTTTTAAAATATTAATGAATGAAGCTTTACTTCTAATCCTCTCTTCTTACAGATTGAGAATTCCAGAAACAGCCAATAAGAGCCTGCAGCACAGCCAAGAACATCCCCTTAATCTTCCCCCTTATTGTAGCCTGTTGTTACATGCAGCAAGAAATATTAAAGAATGGATGGACATCACCTTACAGATCATCTGTAATGGGTTACTGCTCCTTGTCATTCCTCCCTTCCAGAGGGAATTACCTGTTTCGACAGTCTAAATTCACACCAGATGTTTCCAAGGGGAGCAGCAGGATTAGCTTAAACTTTTTTAATGGCTGATCTGAGAAAACACAGGTGCTTTGTTTTCACATGCTGCTCTCTACTTTGAGCACCCGACCAGAAGCAATAATTAAGAAAAATGATGGATATAGGATAGCAGAGAGTGTGCCTGCTCCACTCAGCAGCAGATAAGAGTTGATGCATCTCAACTTATATGCTGCAACTTTGCCTGAAGAATTCAGGAGTGAAAACAGTACCTTACTGGGCAAACTGTGATCAGAGAAGGACGACAAGGTCACCTTCTGTTACACTCTTGTTTTATGTCAGAAAGGGCTGGAGTCCCAGCACAACAGGACAGAAAATACCATTCTTTTGCTCTATATTCTGTATTCTATTTCCACACCAACTATCAGACAAGCTCCTGTATGTTTGATTTTCATTTCTATACATAAACTCTCTCTTCAGTACCCTATGCTTAATGCCATGTCATTCTTAAAACACCCTAACCACAGAGAGTTAGGGGAGCAGCAAATTTTTCCATTCCACTTCATTTAACTGAGCTGCCCCTGGCTACTGTACAATTAATGGAGGAGCACAAGGACTTCTGAAATTCATTAGAGCTCTTCTGAGATCTGAAGTGATTTTGAGAATTGCCTTTCTTTTCCCACTGTACTAGTTTTTAGTGGGATAGAGTTAATTTTCTTTATAGAATCTTGAATCTTTGTTTTAGATTTGTAATGAAAATTGTATTGATAACATAAACCATAGAATGGTTTGGGTTGGAAGGGAACTTAAAGATTCCCACAGAGTCAAGGTCTTTTCTGTTTCTCACACTCCTCTGCCAGCAAGGAGGCTGGAGGTGCACAAAAAGTTGGCAGAGAAGACAAGGGACACAGCCAGGACAGCTGATCCCAGCATGCCATATGGTGGCACGTTCAAACAATAAAAGTTAGAGGGAAAGGAGGAGTAAGCAGGGACATTCAGAGTTATGGCATTTGCCTTCCCAAGTAACTATTATGCTCTGCTTTCCTGGAAATAGCTAAACATTTGCTTACCAATGGAAAGTAGTGAACAAATTCCTTATTTTGCTCTGCTTGCATATGCAGCTTTTATACCTGTTAAACAGTCGCCATCACAACCCACCGAGTTTTCTCATATTTGTCTTTTTGATTCTCTTCCCCATCTCATTGGTTGGAGAGAGAGAGTGGGTGCGTGGAGCCTGGCTGACCACTATGAATTTAAACTACAACACCCACTGATGATATAGTCCCAAAAATGTTCCTGCTATGTGTCTAAAAATAGATGGCATGATTTTGGACTCAGATGGCCCACACACATCAGATACCAACAAATTAAGGATAAGTCCAGACAGTCCAAATGCCCTGCCCTGAGAAACTCCCATTTCTTTTGGAGTTTGAAGCACTGGATCCAAAACCATAACATATTTAGTGAGGGCTAGATAAATCTGTTGTAGAATCATCAAATGCTAGTAGATTCTTTCATTGCTTCTACAGATGCATGGACCAGATAATTCTACAGAGTCATAAAGAGCATAGCCAGCAGCCCAACAGGTGATCTTCCCTGTCTTCGTGAGGCCACATTTAGACTACTGTGTCCAATTCTGGGTTCCCCAGTTCAAAAAAGACAGGGATCTCCCAGAAGGAGACCAAAGAGGGCCACTAAAATGATTAAGGGCCTGGAGCACCTCCCATATGATGAAAGGGGGAAAAAAAAGAATGAGAGGGGACCTGAATAATGTTTATAAGTATCTAAAGGGAGTTGGGAAGCAAACAGATGAGGCCAGACTCTTCTTGGCGGTAGATAGTGATAGAACAAGGAGTAATAGCTTAAAACTTGAATACAGGAAGTTCTGTACTAACATGAGAAAGAATTTCCTTAAGGTAAGGGTTATGGAGCACTGGCACAAAGTGATGGTGGGTTCTCCTGTGGAGACACTGAAGGCCCACCTGGACACCTATCAGAGTAACCTACTGTAGAGCACCTCCTTTAGCAGGGGGTTGAACTCAATCTCTTGAGCTGCCTTCCAATCCCTGCAATTCTGTGCTTCTGTGACCTTTGTATTTTTTATAACATCATTTGAATCTCACAGAAGCCCTAGGTTCACTTGCAGTCAGAGCCTGTCTTCCTTTGCTCAGTTTACAGTTATCAGCTAGCTACATGTTTTTTATTTTATTTTTAATTTTATTTATTTATTTTATTTTTAAGACTTACACAGCAGTACATCAACGAAGTAACAACTTTATTTAATAAATTCCATCCCACTTTCTTCATATGTTCAGTCTCTCAGGCTGCTAGAATTTCTTTTGATCACCCCCTTAACTCTACATTTGAATTTTAGAAGCACACCTCCCATGCCCATAATCAAATGGAAATAAGCCCCAGCTCCTAATGGTAAAAAAAAGATCTTAGATTCAATAAAGCATACCCCAGAATCCAACCTTTTCTTTCTAATGGCAATTTATTTTTAATAACATATAGGAAAAAAGTAAAGCTCCAAATGAAAAAACTGTCATTTAAACACCCACTGAAACAATTACAGACAAGTCAATTTAACCTCAAATAGAAACAAATCTTAGAGCACAGTCATGCCCCTACTCTCCTCAGGTGTCTACACATTTCCATCTCTTGTTCTTTCAGAGATATAAGCCAGCCATCAGTAATAAAGGCTGTATTAAGTCACACATAGATAGCTAGCACAATTTGAACCAGGGTCTCTATCAAAACTTCTGCAATGTGAGTACTTAAAACCTAAGTTAGGCCCACCATCAAGTTCTATTACATACCTTCTGCACCAATTGACACAAGTTTCACTCCTTTGCTGGCGATATAATCCAGAGCTTTGTTGACATTAGCAATTTTATGGAAGCGCATTTTCCCTCTGTCTGGTTTCGGTAATCTTTCCCCTATAGGATAACAAAATGAATGCATTTATTGTTATATACACTTGGCTACAGACACTCAAGTGAGTGGAACTCAAGAACAAGCATGCTTTGTACACTGAAAACATCTGAAAAGTATGCAAGTGATTCCTGTGTCTAGACCTCTATTTCACTGTTACCATCTACTTTAGAGTACTTGATCAGTCAGAGGGAAGGATATTCTCATCACCATTACCTGCCTAACTGTAAAGAAAACCTGGACTCTATCCAGAGTAGCCATAGCATCCTCTCAAATGTGACCAAGATTGACAGCTTTTAACATCCTTATTCAGTGCAGTAGATTAACTAATTTCAGAATATAAATTCACATGTTTGATTGAATTTACATTCTTAGATTATCATGAAAAACAATTATTTTAGAAAATATGACTCTCCATTTTACAAAGAATGATCATTTTAAAACCTTCTCCACCAAAATCTCATAAAAAGCCTCGTTTCCCTTTTTCACCCTCATTGTGTGTCTAGAACATGAGCTATTCCCTTCCCATTCAGAAGCATTTTCAGTGTACCTTGGTGACTGCATCTCTGAACAACGGAGAAGCAAACATAGCAAATTTCAACCAACCTGAAATAACTTCCAAGAGCAGCATCAGTTTGAGGCCATTTCTAAAGTCCTCCTCAATGTTCTCAATCTGTGTGCCTGCTTTCCTGAGGTGGGAATTGCACCAAGCTGTAAACGTCTGTAAAAGTAAATATAAATGAATAATTAAAACCTTATCAACATACATTTTCCAAAACAACTGCTAAGCCATTTGAGTAAACAATGCAACAGAAACTTCCATAGCTGCCTAAGAAATCTGGATGTACAACACCCAATCATTTTATACATCACTGAGTTCAAAATTCTTATCTCAGATTTTCATAGAATCACCAAGGTTGGAAAAGACCTCCAAGATCATCTAGTTCAACCATACACCACCACCACCAATATTTCCCCACTAAATTACGTTCCTTAACACAACACCTCAAGGGACTCAACCACCTCCCTGGTCAGTCCATTCCAGCACCTGACCACTCTTTCAGAAAAAACATTTTTCCTAACATCCAATCTGGATCTCCCCTGGCACAACGTGAGGCCATTCCCTCTAGTCCTATTGCTACCTACCTGGGAGAAAAGGACAACTCCCATCTCATTACACCTTCCATTTTCAGGGAGTTGTAGAGAGCAATAAAACCATATCAAACAATCCCAGTTCCCTCAGCCACAGTTGGTAAGACTTGTGCTCTAGTTCCTACATCAGCTTTCTTGCCCTTCTCTGGACATGCTCCAGGTCCTCAGTGTCTTTTTTGTAGTGAGATGCCCCAAACTGAACACAGTACTCGAGGTACAGCATCACCAGAGCTACAGGGGGATGATCACTTCCCTGCTCTTGCTGGCTGCAGTTTCTGACACAAGCCAGGACGCCGTGTAATCTCACTCAAGATGATCTGTTCTATAACCTTCCCTGGCACCTAGGTCAGGCTGACAGGCCTGTAGTTTCCTGCATCCTCCTTATGATCCTTCTTGTAGATTTTCATGAAGATGCAAATAATTGCTCAATTAGAAACAATATCGCACTGCGTTCTGTTTGCAACTTTAAGAACTTTTAATGTAATTACTTTAAAAATTAAAAGATATCCTAAATCTCTATTTTCACTGCAAAATTTTGTTTGGCTTCCTTTCTTCTCACCTGCTGATGAGACTACTTAATTTTTGATCCCAGAAACAGAATAGGAAAGAGCAAAAACCTTCCTTGAAACTAAATCATGAATATAGTGGGCGAATTTCATACTTTAAGATGGTACACAAAGAATATTCAAAACTGGTCTTCTTTTAAAAGTGCAACATTATATCTATTTTCATTTTTGTTGTTTTCTTTGATTCAGTGTACATAGAGGATTCTTGCAGCTTGCTGGATGCTTGTCTCAGAGCTCCCACAGTAATAAAGAACAGCTTGCAGGACATGTGCATTGTTCTGGTACCTCCAGGTTCATCTCTGCATTTTTTTTCTTCAGGTTCCTAATCTTTATTCCATTTAAAGGATCAGCTGGGCACCTACCAAGTGACCAAAATGCAAAATTTTCCCCCAGTGTGATGGGAACTGTGGTCATTTTGTGAGGCACTGATATTTTACAGACAAAATGCAGGATGTAATGAATGTACTGGGGATATAGCCAGTCAAAAAGAGAGGATAAGCTGCAGAGTGCCTGCAAATTTCAAATAATCCCAGTAAGCCTTTTGAGATCACCATGACAGAAAGAATGAGCACAACTTCACACCCAACAGCAGAAAAGAAAATTTGCTCATCATACTTAGTGCAGAAAAATAAGAGCATTGAGTCACAGAAGCTCACTGAATCTTGGTGGAAAAATTAAAAATTCACACTAGCTGTTCCAGCACTCAGTGGAATCTCTAGGTAACAAGACAATCACTAGACAGCATTTCTTCCTCCTGATCTGCACACTTCCACACTTTTTCTCAATATTGATCACTCTGTGAAGACCTCCAGCATTGCTATGATGTAAACAGAGATGCTACCACTGCTCAGTCAAGCTGCTTTCAATAAATAATTTTATATCAGTCCCTTTTTTTTTTTTTTGGCTGCCGTTTTATGCTATTTACAATTGTTTTCAGCAACAGTGGCATTTATCATTAGACCTGTAGCATTCTGAATGATGAACTTGGAGTTACCTACTATGCCCCCATTCATGAGACAAATCAACTTCTGCTGAAGCACTTTACACAGACTCTTTATTTAGACTGTGTTTGTATAGTCTAGTTTTATCTTCCATATCTAAAATAAGAGATTTAGATCTTTTATCTACACACAGTTTTTCATTGTTTGACCAGTGCACTCCTATCTATGAAATGCTGCTATGCCTTCATAACAATTCCTTCGTGTCTCACGGAAAGTGTAAATGCAGAACATTACAGCAGACTCTTCTTGTATCACTTCAGAGCCCGGTGCCTTCCATGTCGGCTTACTTTCTTTAAAGACAGTTATAGGAATATTACTTAAGGAACCATTTACCATTTGTTTCAGTGATGCAATCAGTCAACTTAAAATTTAGCGGTAGCTTTTATACTTACTTGCAAATTTTAACACTTTCCACAATTCACATTTCATTTAACACCTCATCCTTCCCTTCTCATTATGGTACCACTTGTTCCAAACCTGAATTCTCACCACTTTGATTTTAACAGTTCTATTAATAGTTATTAAGAAGCAATTCAAAGCACGTTTAAGTTCTGAAGATCAAGATACAGCCAGCATAAAGGATCCTGCAACTTTGTAATCCATTGGGATTTAAAAGCTATTAAATGACTTACACAAAGCAAATTCCTTTTTCTGCTGGACACATCTCAGAGTATCAGATTGCTCAGAGAAATAAGGCAGGACTGAAGGCACCAAGTTGAATACCAGAAACTATAAGTGATTAGAAAGCTAGATATTTCTTTTTAGAATTTATTTACCATGGATGACTCTACAAAAGACAAACAAACAAACCCCTCCTTTCTAAATCTATTACTACCAGAGAAACTTAGCTGACATTATAAGAGACTACATAGGAAGAGATGTAAGGCAGGAAGCCGAGAAATTTGCAGACCCTCATATTTCCTCTTAATGCACTAAAACTCCATGCCTACTCTATGCCTACTATATTCTCACTGTGAAGACTGCCAGTATTTGGACCTGTGACTGCGAAGAAAATACCAGAGGAAAAAAAAAATATTTGTCAATTTACTCAGGCCACTTAATTTACAATCACTTTACAAGAAGAATTGCAATCAAAGGACAGAAAAAGAAGATAACCCCAATTAACTATCAATCAATTGCAACTAATGCCAAGAAATAACAGAGTATGCCTGCTCCATAGTACAAACACTGCTATACAGGCACAATGAAGGATGTGCTTTAACAGAAAAAGTGATACCTCTGAGAGCTCAACTGTCCTACACTTCTGAGAAAGTCCACACATGCATTTTCATGTGGGTGTAATGATAACTCACTTTTGATAATGCTTCAAGGCAGGAAAAACAGAAAGACACTATGGTAAGAAGCTTTGTATGTGTCTGTGATAATAAGGATAAAGAGAATTGAGACAGCACAAGTTACCATCCTCTCCAATACAGTTATCCTTGAGGCAGATGAGACAATGATGATGATGAGCACACGCTTAAGATATACAGTAAATTTCTAGTTGGACACTGACAGTGAGTCTAAAATGTACCTCACCAAAATAACCACATAACTTTCATGGAGATACGCACAGAAGATAATTTCAGAAATCCTTAAATTCACAACTTCAGAAAGATTTATTTGATTTACCCATTTGCACTCAAAAGTGGATCTGGCCCCAAAAAAGTGCTGGAGACCCATGTCCTTTTTAGTATATGTAGCTCATAACAAAGGTTAACACAACTTTTCACACTTCCCAACTCAAACAAATTTGTCTGCTATAATAAGTTTTAAAAATCACATTGACTTAAAAATGAGGAAAGACAACTGGCCTGAGTAACACATTTGGTTTTTTTTGTGTCTAGCCTTTCTGTAATCTTTACATAAGAAAACATAAGAAAAAAATCCAATTTTAATGTAGGAAATTTATGAAAAAGATTGCATTAATAGGAAGCTTAATAATTTCTGTATCTGTTAAGAAAAGAAGAGTATTACTCATTTTAAGCAGATCTTAAATTCTAATACCCAGAGAAGGAAACCACACCTGTAGACAATTTGTCTCAGTTATAAGCATTCAGCATGTTTGTGTGCATGTATAAATACATTTCTATATACAAACATGCTGTCTCTAATTATCTCAGTCTAATAGAGCTGTTTCTTAAGACAGTGCTTTACAGCCCTTCTCCTAAAGTAATTTTCCCCTCTGCTTGTGCTAGCTGGGGGGTTTCATTACTTCCAGTCTAAATGGGATGCAGTGATTCATTCTGTAGTTATATGGAATATTACTGGGCTTAGAGCACACGGTAAGAGCGTTAGGGAGAGCACTGCCAGAACATTCCCACAGGCAAGACTGAGGTTTCCCCCTTGAAGAGCTGCCCATCTGTCTGTTATGCATGTTTTAAAATACAAGACATGATCCTGCAACATGACCTCCTAGCTCTTGTGTCCACATTCTAATGACTTCAGGATCAGGGTTTCTTCCCAGGCTTGAGGTACAGTCTGTGTTAGCCCTCATTCTCTTAATTATTTAATTCTGCTCCCTCCCACGAAAGGAGCATGAAGGTGTAAAACAGCAGAAGATCGTTCAGCCTTGATAAACTAGTTTGATTTAAACCAGTGACTACATATGGCATTGATTATATTTCTTCACTTCTACCTTTTGCTCATTTAGTGCAGAACTATATTTTCCTGAACTGAGAACAACTAAAATGTTACGTCTTACTGGTTTGAATCATTAACTGTCCCCTTGTTTCCACTGCAATAGATGGTACATGTTTGTAATATGTTACATTACTAGAGTAACTGTAAGAGGAGAGATAGTTCACCATGTACAATTCAATTGCTCTAAAATAGACTCAAGCACAGTAACAACTCAAATGAAGCACAGTTTCACTGTATGGTGAAGAATGCCAGAAGTCTAAGGTGAAGGAAATGTTTAGCATGTTCCAAAAAGCCTTAAAAAAGGAATCCTCAAACCACAGGCAGTATCTCAAAGCCAGATTCCTAGGAACAACAGAAAG